GCAGAGGAGGGAGAGCTTGTACCTGAATAAAACTTGGTCTTAAAGGTGCCACTGGACTGTTTTGGACCGGGGGGCCTGGGGGGGGTCTCTGCAACTTACCTGGCTGTTTCTTGCTCTGACTGAGGGCTGCTGGGAGCAGGGGGTGGGGCTTGTTGCGTGTGCCCGCCCCCTGGACTCTTTCGTGCCGGAGCTCCGCTCCTGTGCGCTCCTGCAGGAAATGACCCCTGGATTCCCCACTCCTCCCCCATGCAGCCAGCTGAGTGACCTTGGGTCAGTCACAAGTTCTCTCAGAGCTGTTCTCTCAAGGACAGTTCTGGAAGGAGCTCTCTCAGCCCCGCGTACCTCACAGGGTATCTGTTGTGGGGAGGGGAAGGGAAAGGAGATTGTAAGCTGCTCTGAGACTCTTTTGGGTAGTGAAGGGTGGGGTATAAATCCAATCTCCCCCCCCCCTTCTTCTTCATTTATTTAATTAAAAGGGGGGGTTAAACTCTGTTTTTTCATTGTCTACGGGCCTTGAGGCAGCTCACAAAATTGACCAACAAATTAGGGGCATGCACACACAGCTGGCAGATGGAGTTTTTAGTGTCTTCATCAAAGTCCCCAGGGTCGGCTGACCGCTTCTGCTTTTCTTCCTCATTGGCATGTGGTGGCCGGTCGAGATTTAAAGAGGCCTCCAGCTGATCGGCGGGCCACATGCTCCCGCCAATCAACTGGAGGGCCGTTTTAATGTCACGGGAGGAGGGAGGGGAGAGTGGGGCAGCAGCTGTGGTGGGGGCGTGCCTCACATTTGAGGGGGCGGCGCCCTGAAATGCCCCACAGTAGCTACGGGCCCGGGTGGCCCACAGGTAAATACGTTCCCTCAGCCCCCAGAAATAGACTCTGCAGCCAATCAGTCCCTGCCAGCCGAGGAGCCTGCCTGCTGTGTCTCTGTACGAGTTGTCGGCTCCTTTCCAACCAGGATGCCTGTTCGGATCAGTAACTCATACAGAGATAACAGGAGGAGGGAGCTCTTCTGAGTCGCGGACTTGAAAAGTCAGTCTCCAATATAAATGTTTGACTCAGTTTATAATAATCTAAGTGAAGTGAAGATTTGTTGTAACTAAGCTAGTGAAGATCTCTCTTGGGTTTTTAGTTAGTAGTGGGTTCTTTTGCTTTATCCTATATATGTAGTCCCCCCCTTCCCTTTTTTCCTGTAGTAGTTTTGTAGTTTGATAAAAAATAATAAAAAAATCCTCTCCGAGGGCTCCAAAAAAGAAAAGAAAAGTCAGTCTCCTTGGAAGCAAGAGTAGGGAATAGCTCAGATTGTTTGTGATTCGGGGCAAAAAGCGTGCCTCGGTATATCAGAGTTTTCTGGAGCACTCCGAGGTTCACCAGATGTCCTCGTTCTGTTACACAGTTAGAGCACAAGAAGGATTCTTGGCACGTCGCGGTCCGTGTCCTTTGCTCTCCGCCTGTCGTCACGACGCAGCCGGCCTCGTTCCGGCCTCATCCCTATACACTGTATCTTAAATTTGCAACTCCGCAAACCGAAAACTGCACTGAGCTTCGTATTCCCAGATAACGAAACCTTAAACCATTGGACACGCAACAACAGCCCTCTCTGAGGGAGCGATCCAGCGAAAGGTTTCGTTTCCTTCAGAAACTTGGAAGCCACTCCTTGGCCAACGGGGATTTTTTTAAAAAATCCAAAGTCTAAGTGTGGAACAAAAGGACTCCTTCTGGGGCAGTGATGCTCTGACTCCTTGGGGCTTGGGGGGGCCACAGTGGGAGGGCTTCTAGTGTCCTGGCCCCACCGGTGGACCTCCCGATGGGCCCCTGGGTTTTGGCCACTGTGTGGCACAGAGTGTTGGACTGGATGGGCCATTGACCTGATTCAACATGGCTTCTCTTCTGTTCTTATGTCTGGGGTGGTGATGCTCTGTCTCCTTGGTGCTCGGGGGGCAACCGAGGGAGGGCTCCTGGAGTTCTGGCCCCGCTGGTGGACCTCCCGATGGCCCCTGGGTTTTGGCCACTGTGTGGCACAGAGTGTTGAACTGGATGGGTCATTGGCCTGATTCAACATGGCTTCTCTTCTGTTCTTATGTCTGGGGCAGAAATGCTCTGTCTTCTTGGTGCTCGAAGGGGGGGCAACAGTGGGAGGGCTTTTGGAATTCTGGCCCTGCTGGTTCCCGTAAGGCCTGCCGATCTCCTTCCCCTTCCCCCTCCCCACAACAGACACCCTGTGCAGTAGGAGAGGCTGAGAGAGCTCTCTAGAGAACTGCTCTTGAGAGAAGAGCTCTGGGAGAACTTGTGACCGACCCACGGTCACACCAGCAGCTGCATGTGGAGGAGGAAAAAGCGAACAAAAGGAAGGAGAAGGGGGAGGGCTGTTCCCTCTCTCCTTCCAGCATTTTCTTCTCCACAGCTGAGTGTGGGCTGGAAACTCGTCTCGGCCATCCTCTCCCAACATTTTAACCTCGCTGGCTTCCTGCATCCTGAGACCCTGTCTTAAAGAGACATAGAATCATTTCGTAAGGGGCTGTGGCTCAGTGGCAGAGCCTCTGCTTGGCATGCAGAAGGTCCCAGGTTCAATTCCTGGATTCTCCAATCAAAGGACTAGGCAATAGATGACCTGAAAGACCTCTGCCTGAGACCCTGGAGATCCACGAAGTGGGGCTGTAGCTCAGTAGCAGAGCCCCTGCTTGGCATGCAGGAGGTCCCAGTTTCGATCCTCAGCATCTCCCGTTAAAAAGGGCCAAGCAGTAGGTGATGCAAAAGACCTCCGCTTGAGACCCTGGAGAGCCACTGTCCATCTGAGTAGACAGGAGTCTGACCTTGATGGACAAAGGCTCTGATTCAGTATAAGGCAACCTCATGTGTTCACTCATAGAGTCAGAAGGGTCTCTAGAGGCCATCTAGTCCAGCCCCCTGCTCAACGCAGGACCACCCTAGAGCATCCCTGACGAGTGTTCGTCCAGCCGCTGCTTGAAGACAGCCAGGGAGGGGGAGCTCGCCACCTCCCTAGGCAGCCGATTCCACTTCTCAACGACTCTTAACTTTTTTTGGGGGGGGGGGAGTTCTGCAGTCCGTTGCTTTCCAACTGGTACCTTCCCGCCCGTAATTTCAACCCATTCTCGCGAGTCCTCCCCTCTGCAGCCAACAGGGAACAGCTCCTTGCTCTCCTCTAGGCGACAGCCCTTCGAGGACTTCAAGAGAGCAATCCTGCCGCCCCCCCAGCCTCCAGTTCTCCAGACTGAACGTTCCCAAATCCCTCAGCCTTTCCTCGTAGGGTTTAGTCTCCAGGGGATTGAGCCCGACACCTTCTGCATGCAAAGCGGGTCTCCTGCCGCTACACCACGGCCCCTGGCGTCTGTTCTCAGGGCGGAACACCCAGGGCTCTTTCTGTAGCAGGAACTCCTTTGCATATTAGGCGACACCCCCCTACTGTAGCCAATCCTCTAAGAGCTTACAAAGCTCTTCTTACAGGGGTTACTGTAAGCTCTTGGAGGATTGGCTACAGTAGGGGGGGTGTCGCCTAATATGCAAAGGAGTTCCTGCTACAAAAAGAGCCCATTTACCCCCAAGGTTCTAGTTGCAGCCTCCCTCCGGGGGAGGGCACTTTGCAAATGGAACAAAATCCAATTCATCCCAATTTGTCCCCCCAAACAGGGAAGCCGGAACTGGAGCGCCCTGTGTCGCCGAGCCATTACTACAGCCCCGACCAGAAGGTGACGTTGACGTGTTCCGCTTTGGGCCACCCGGAACCACAGATCACCTGGAGCGTCTCCGGAGAGGTGAGTACGGGGCAGGCGGCGGCGGGGCAATGCTAGCTGGGAATATCTGCGGGGGAGAGCGTCGACCGAAAGGCCTTCCTCTCCACGCCCCTCCGTGCCATCTAGGGCTGTGGGGTGGGGGTTTTTTTTGCCGTTTTTCTCTCTTTTTAAAATTTTTTATTTATTTTCTGAAAACGACAAGAAAATAGGGAAAGGGAAACTATAAACTACGGGAGAAAGATTAACCACAAAAAAACCCAAGAGGTGGTGGTCCTAGAATGCTTACAATAAAATAGCTTTAAATAAAAAAAAGAGAGTAATTTGTTACATTGAAGGGGATCGTTAAATTCACTTAAATATTTCAAGACCGGGTATTCTGACTTAGTAAAGAACCATACAAAAGAACGGTTAAATAATAAGAATCAAACGTCAAACTTCAGAGAAAATTAGCTTTTCATTTGCCTCCTTTCCCTCAATTGATACCCTCGCTTGGGGGCAGCCCCTCCACGTTCCGAATCCGAGTATTCTCCAGTAAGAGTTTCACCAACACTCCCCTTATTGCTCTTCTCATCCTCTTCTCCTGTTGGATCCAGTTTTTGCTGCAGAAACTCTCTCGCTTTCATAGCAGAGTCAATTTCCCCCCCCTCTTATCTTTAAATCTGAAGAGTATGCCTTTGGATCTGTTATTCTTTTGAAGAAACAAAGCCAAGTCTCTGTATTTTTTCATTCCCCCCCCTTATTTCAAAGGGAATGTCTTTCAAACCTCTTATCTCCTTTCCATCAATTTTAAGGGTAGTTCCATGTGTTGCTTTTAAAATCTGGTCCCTCACGTATTTATTTATCTTCCGGAGAATCTTACCACCACCTCGCCGGGCAGATTATTTGTCTTTATGTATTCTGAATGTGACCTATAGATCACATCCATCTCGCCATCTAGGGCTGCGTGGGTTTTTTGCGATTTTTCTCATTAGGAACGGCAGCGGAAGCTTTCCCGGAGGACCAAGCGACGCTGCAGGTTTTCTAAAAAGAGTCTGTTACCCAGATATCACTCACTTTCTCCACAGCTACATAGCAGCAGCAGCTGCAGAGAACATTGTCTTGAAAGTCTGACGGTAACAGAACGGGCCATCAGGTCCCCACTGACTTACAGTGACCCCCGAGGGGTTTTCAGGGCAAGAGACCTTGGCCCTTTCCACACGCTCCTTTTAATCCATGTTCACGGCTGTGTCCTCCAAGCAATTCTGCACTAAAATCGAATTCAACCGTCTTTTTGATCCAGGTTCTTTCCCCGCCCCGCCCTGCCATTCTGCACTAAAGTAGAATTCAACCTTCTTTTTAGTCCAGGCTCCCCCCCGCCCCATTCTGCACTAAAATCGAGTTCAACCGGGGGTCATTTCGTAGGAAAAGAGGTGCAGGAGCTCATGAGCATAACTTATTTGCATATGCCACACCCCCTGACATCACCGGAAGTGTGTCAGAAGGCAACACCCACCGCTCAGGCTCCACTGGACTGTTTTGGATTGCCAGCTATTGGGGGGGGTGGAACGTGCAGATCTGTCCTTGCAGAGGAGGGAGAGCTTGTACCTGAATAAAACTTGGTCTTAAAGGTGCCACTGTACTGTTTTGGATTGCTAACTATGGGGGGGGGGAATGCACAGATCTGCCCTCACAGAGGAGGCAGATGCTAGACTAGATGGACCCTCACTGGTCTGATCCAGCAGGGCTCCTTTTATGTTCTTATGAAGGCCTCCGCCTCTATGTCCTGCTGTTGGCCCTCCAGAGGAACTGGTTGGCCCCTGTGTGAGACAGGATGCTGGACTGGATGGTCTGATCCAGCAGGGCTCTTCTGATGTTGTTATGAAGGCCTCAGTCTCTCTGCCCTGTTGTTGGCCCTCCAAAGGAACTGGTTGGCCACTGTATGAAACAAGATGCTGGACAAGATGAACCCTCACTGGTCTGATCCAGCAGGGCTCTTCTTATGGGTCCCGCAGAGACGGACAGAGGCGAAACAGAGAGAGCTGGGAATCCAAGGCAGGGACGGGCACTCATTTCCCTTTCCCACCCCCTTGCTTCTCCCAGCCTTCCACGAATAGCTCTGGCAACCGAGTGACCAGCAGGATGTCCGTGGAGGTGACGCCGGAGCTGGCCGAGAGCGGGGTTAAGTGCTTGGCGAAAAACCAGCACGGCTTGGACGAGTGGACGTTCCGGCTGGAGACCGGTGAGTGGCCCCGAGAGAGAAGCGAGGGGTTGTGATGCTTCGCCTCCGAGGACACGAGCACGGGATGCGGGCGCTGGGCCCGTGCCAGTTGTTCGCCGCGCAGGGATAATGGCCGTTTGGCTGAGTTACTGTCCAGATTGAATAGTGGGCGATGTCTGGGAACGAGGAGACGCTGCCCTTGGATCTCACCTTCGTCCACACCGGCTGGGTGCGGGTGGAAGGTTATGGGGCGTGCCCAGTTGGGGAGGGGAAGCAGGTATTGACAGGACCGGCACAATGTGTGTGTGGGGGGAAGCAGGCACCTGCCATCTGTCAGGGGCCTCTAGGGTTGACAACCTCCAGGTGATGACTGGTGATCTCCTTCTGTTACGACTGACCTCCGGGCAACAAAGATCAGTTCGCCTGGATAAGGATGGGAGTCTATATGGCATTAAGGTAAAGGTAAAGGTTTCCCTTGCTCGAAAGCCAGTTGAATCCGACTCTAGGGTTGCGGTGCTCATCTCCGTTTCAAAGCCGAAGAGCCAGCGCTGTCCGAAGACGTTTCCGTGGTCATGTGGCCGGCATGACTAAACACCAAGGCGCACGGAACGCTGTGACCTTCCCACCGAAGTGGTCCCTATTTATCTACTTGAAATTTCTTGCTTTCGAACTGCTAGGTTGGCAGGAGCTGGAACCAGAGACGGGAGCTCACTCCGTCATGCGACACACTGGGGTCTCGAACTGCTGAACTAGCGACCTTCCACAGCCTGCAGTTCAGCGTCTTAACCACTGGAGCCACCGCAGCTCCTCTATATGGCATTAGACTCTTCAGCCACCGCAGCTCCTCTATATGGCATTAGACTCCCTTTTTTTTTCTTTCAAAATTTTAATCAATTAAAACAATACAGACATGCGTACTGAAAGATATATTACATTTTGTTTCCAATCAATCTCCACTCAGTCTCTGTATATTGCACATAACCAGCCTTGTACTCAGTCTAATCTACTTTTCACTTCTAAAACTTATATGATAAGAGCTCAGCCTAAACACCTGTGTGTCAAAAATGTATCCATTCCAGATAGTTAGGATTTGAGGGTAGTAGATCCCTTGAAGTCCCTCCCTGGCCTAAGCCCCGCCCTCCTCAGGCTCCGCCCCCCAATCTCCAGTTATTTCCCAACTCAGAGCTGACCCTCCTCGGAGCCTCTCTGTCCAGCCCGGGATGTTAGCAGTCTAGACTTGCCTTTTCTTTAAAATGTCCTTTTTAATTAATTTTTTTTAAAAAAATAGAGTTTATTACAGCATATATACAAAACAAGAACACGTCTAGGGATGTGCCTTCGGTTCGTCTGAACCGAATGCACCACCCCTGAAAATGGCCCATTCAGGCCCCTTTCGGACTGCTGCGGGCCGATTCGGATTCTCTGTTCTGAATCGGCTTGCCGCCGAATTGCCGCCGAATTTCTCCCCCCACCACCATAGAGAACAATAGAGGGGATGGGGGTAAACTGTTTGGGGGCCCATAGAATTGGACCCCCTGGTCCAATCTTCTTGAAACCTGGTGGGTATCTTGAGGAGAGGCCACAGCAGCTATCCTGCGAGTTTGGAGCCTCTCCCTCAAACCCCCTCTCCTCCAGCCCCCAGAATATACCCTATGTTTTCGCCATTGACTTCAATGGCCCATAGGATATAATGGGGCCGAAATTGACATTTGCTTGGCAATGGGCTCCTACTGCCGAAATTGACATGCCGGAGTCTTTCTGCCCTCTGAAATTGATTCTGCCCGATTCGGCCGAATCCAAACCGGGATGAATTTTGTTGGGTTTTTTTGCACACCCCTAAACACATCAGTACTGTACAACCTCATTATAAGTAAGGTATTGAACATATAAGATGCATAGAACATCATACAAAAATACTTCTCTACTATGTTGCATTAGAGAAGTGGACCATAACACCAAATTTAAGTCAACCGACTACCAAACATAGCATACAACCTTTTTAATGTCAGATCTTAAGCCAGTTCATACGAACCAATTTTTTTAGGAACCACACTGTGAGAAGACAAATAACCTAATACAGGAAACCACTTTACTACAAATTTGGAGGACATATCCGTATCCGTATTATTTTGCGTTATTTGATTGGTGATTTTTTGCATTATATATAGATTTCATATTTTGTTATGCCACATCTTTATGGAAAGCCCTGCCTTATCTCTCCATTTAGCAACTATGGTTGTTTTCGCTGCAATCAATAATGTGGCTATTAATTCTTTAGTAGATTTTGGCCTATCTAGATCTGACCAGTAGTTTAGAAATAAGAGGTCTGGTTCCAAAGGTATATTAAACCAGTCCTAATCTGATTTAAAACCTGTTCCCAAAATGCCGTGATAACCTTGCACCTCCACCAACAATGTTCAAACGAACCCAATGTCCTCTTTAATTTAAAGCTACCGCTTACAGTTTAAAAGGTATTTAATTTAGCTTTTTAAATATTTCTTATGAAGCCTTCCTTCGCCTCCACACCCCCAATTTCTGTCTTCACCTTAGGTTTAGGAAGCTTTTAGCTAAATTGGAGTGGACGTTCAAAGTTCCCCAGTAGGTCGCTTTCCATCCTCCCCGTCCCCAGCTATTTGGCTGGTGTCTCCAGTTTCTCCTTCCCCCGCATCCTGTGCCACTTGGGCCCAGTTCCGATGTGACGCCGGCGAGGTGGAAGCACTCTCGTGGGGGCGGCTTTGCAGTCCCGCAGCGACTTGCCGAAACTGGGCCCCCACCGCCCTTGCAAAATATGCTTCGCAGAACACACGGTCGGCGGCCTGCACTCAACAAGATGTCAAGTGTGCGCAAATCCTCACCGGAGAGCACTTCCACCTCGCCGGTGTCACATTGAAATCGGTCCCCGGCGTCACGTCGAAATCAGTCCCCGGACTGCTCACTTGAGTTCCCTGCTAGGCAGGAGGGCCTCAGTTATGATCTCTGGTTGTGGCGTGCTCTGGTTCCACTTGCGTGGGTTACTCTAGAGAAAGGGGGGAGCTTGGGGAACAGGGCTGGGAGGTTGGGGTCTTGGTCGTGCAAATCCTGTGCTCAAATCGTAACTCTGTACTGAAAGGGGCTGAATTCCACGGCAAGCGTTTTAAATGATCAGCGGTGATCCTCATGCTTGTTTTGTGCTGGATAATTTATGCCTCACTCCTGTGCATGCTTTACATGGGAGTAAATGTCATCATTCCACTCTGGTGGGGCTTGCTTGTGAGCAGGCATGGCTAAGGGTCACGTGATTCTGCTTCTGCAGAGCCCAGGAAGAAGCATTTCAAGGCCTGACCCCAAAAGCACAAATCCGGCCCTGCCCCATCCTGCTTCTCTGCAGTTTTGGTGTAGTGGTTAGGGGCCCGGACTATAAATCTGGGAGAACCGGGTTTGATTCCCCACTCCCCCCCCCCATGCAGCTGCTGGTGAGACCTTGGGTCAGTCACAAGTTCTCTCGGAGCTGTTCTCTCAGGAGCAGTCCTCGAAAGAGCTCTCTCAGCCCCACCTACCTCACAGGGTGCCTGTTGTGGGGAGGGGGAGGGGAAGGAGATTGTAAGCCACTCTGAGACTCTTTCAGGTAGTGAAGGGTGGGGTATGAATCCAGTCTCCTCCTCCTCCTCCTCTTCTTCTGTCAGTCACAAGTTCTCTCAGAGCTGTTCTCTCAAGGGCAGTCCTCGAAAGAGCTCTCTCGGCCCCACCTACCTCACAGGGTGCCTGCTGTAGGGAGGGGGAGGGGAAGGAGATTGTAAGCTGCTCTGAGACTCCGAGTGAAGGGCAGGGTATAAATCCAGTGTCTTCTTCTTCATCCTCCCCCCACAGCCCATCTTCCTCGTCAGATCAATAATACTCTTTCACCGGCAACAAAGAGAAATCTCTCTCTCATGCATTTGATCTATCCTATACACTTTGAGTGCCCTGGGTCTGCAAAGATGTGCAAAATGTTTTCGCTGATGTTAAAAACCCAGTCCTTGTATTATTGATGACTGTGGAAATACTCCATAATAGCCCTGTTACAAACAGAGCGATGAAGGAAGAAAACCACACTGCAGCGGAAAGACAAATGTATTCCAATAGCGTAAAAAACCCTGATGCATTTCGCCTGGAGCTTCCTCACGGACATGTATACACGGGTCAGTGTTCCCTCTAAGCTGGGTTAGTGTGAGCTAGCTCACAGTTTTTTAGCCTCCGGCTCACACTTTTTTTTTTTGTCTCAGCTCAGGGAAGAGGGCTCCAGAGCAAACGCATTTATGCCATGGCCTAATCGCCCGCTCACAATCTTTCATGCCAGCAGCTCACAAAGTGGAATTTTTTCTCACAAGACTCCACAGCTTACAGGGAGCACTGACACGGGTTCCCCCCAAAATGTAACTAATATCTTTTAACTGAATCTCTTAAGCAGTGTTCCCTCTAAGCTGAGTTAGTGTGAGCTAGCTCACAGTTTTTAAGCCTCCAGCTCACACATTTTTGCCTTAGCTGAGGAAGGATGGCTCCAGAGCAAACTAATTTATGCAGCAGACAAATCGCTCGCTCACAACTTTAAGGCCAGTAGCTCACAAAGTAGAATTTTTGCTCACAAGACTCCACAGCTTAGAGGGAACATTAAGTAATTTGTCGAAAACAGACTTGCCGTGCACGTGGGCTGCAGGGCCGGCTCGAGGTGTTTCTGCGCCCTAGGCGAGGCTGCCTTGTGGCGCAGATACCAACCTCCCGGGGGGCCTGGAGACCTCTGGAGCCAGCCAACCTTTTGCTACCGCCGCCACCGCCTCCCCCCCTCCCGCAGCTGTCAGACCCAGCGAGCACGCCCGACATGCT